TCCTCCTCCTCCTCCTGCTCCTCCTGCTCCTTCTCCTCCACCTTCTCATCCCGAGCTGATGCCGCTGAGGCCAATCCGCCTCGCGCGGACCGGAGCAGATGCAGGTGAGCATTTGCGGGGGCCCTCAACCTGCCCCATCACTGCGCCCTCCCCCGCATCCTTCCTTCTCCTCCTCCTCCTCCTCCTCCTCCTCCTCCTCCTCCTCCTCCTCCTCTTCCTCCTCCTCCCCCTCCTCCTGGCTCTGCTCGGAGTGGGATCCTTGCCCTCTCTGCTCAGTAACACCCTGGGGCTTCAGAGCACGACGCCCCGACCTCTTGCCCCAGGACGGGGCAGCTCAAGGGGGCGCTGCGCCGACCAGCCACGACGGGGGCAGCTGCGTTCCTCACCCCCCCGGTGGAGGAGCCCATCGCGTCGACGACCTCTCTCCAAGAGGGTGCGAACCTCATTCATTGACCCCGGAGGGTGTTAGGAGCCCCTGCATCGCCTGACTTCGCACTTCGCGCCGCGCGAAGTCTGATCATCGTCGCGCTCTCGCGGGGCCCCCGTTCCTCTGGTCGACGGCCTCGCTCCAGAAGGGTGCCGAATCTTATGGGCCCCCGATGGCGCCTGGAGAACCTCGGTCGCCTGACTTCGCACACACTCGCGCCGCGCGAAGCGTGATCTTGGACCTCCAATTCACATTCGAAGACTTGGCTTCGGCGGCGAGCCCAGGGGAAGTGAGAAGGGGCAGGCAGGCCTTCTCGAAAGGCTCGGAAGGCCTCGGGCTTTCTGAGAATATGTCTAAGAACCCCCCGAAGACACAGTAAACTTCCCAGAAGGCTGGAGGGCTTCTGAGAACCCCCACGTCCTCCTGAGAAGGCCTTCTCCCTCTCATTTCCCCCCTGGCGCTCGCGACCGAGAAAATGACCAAGGGGTCGGCCGAAGTCCTTGACTCCGTGGCTGTCAAAACGACGTGGTGTATACGTGTGTACGTCGAGCCCCCCTCACGCACGGCTGGTCCAAGCCGTGACGACATGTGCGATGGCTTCTAACACCGCGGGGACGGCTCAACTTCGAACGGTCGTGTGATGGTGGCTTTTTGGCAAGCGAGACCGTTCAACATGTGCCGAGCACAGGCCGCCAGTGGCCTCAACCCCTGAACGCTGGCGCTGGCGGAACATACCACGTACGTAAGGGGGAATGGGGACCAGCTCGGGGGGGAGGAACATCGACCTGGAATCGGCGATGCATCGCCCGTAGATCGGCGGTAGGCCTCCGATCGCGAATCGGCACGCTGCTGGGTTGGGTGGAAGATCGGCCCCTTTCGGCGACCAACGGGCGATTGGGGGTCGATGCATCCCCCAGCCACCCCTGAGCCCGTCCCCCCCTAATACGAGAACGCCGACAATGCACCGTACCGTTTGGACTCGCTTCAAGCTCCGCCCCAAATAGCTGTTCTGCAACCAGGGCCGAAACACTACGCACCGCATCATTCCGAAGCCAAGAATCGACGACACCTCGGGGGACGCCTGCGCAGTACGGTGCACACACGTCGTCCGCAGACCTAACGCTGCCCCAGGGTACATCTGAGCGCGCGACGCTGCGCACTGCAGGCTGCGGGGGGGGGGGGGGGCCTGCTGGCGCCGCCAGCGCCGAGGGCGCCGCGGACGCGTCGGGCACGGCAGCGGGCGCGGCCGCGCCCCCCGAGGCGCCGGGCGGGGGGCCGCCGCCGCCGGCCGCCGCGGCCGTGGCTGCGGCGGCTGTGGAGGTGGCCGAGGAGGCCGCCGCAGGCGTTGTGGCCGTCGTCGACGAGCTGGTGCTGGTGGGCGCGGTCGACGAGCTGGTGCTGGTGGGCGCGGTCGACGAGCTGGTGCTGGTGGGCGCGGTCGACGAGCTGGTGCTGCGCAGCCCCGTCGACGAGGTCGACGGCGGGTCCGTCCAAGCTCCGTGCGCTGCTCCTGGCTCTGTCGGCGCTGGCAGCGGCGCCGGCTCTTCAGCCTCCATGCCGACCGAGGTGCGCCTGGCCTCGTCCTCGGTCTTGTCAAACCTCGCCCCGCCCTCCCGGTGCACCAGAGACCCTACCCCGCGTTTGGTAATAAGAATAAGCGTGGGGGGGTGGGCCATCCCCAAATCGACCGCCGTCGCGGGCAAGCATCGCCGCGCAACGTCGACTCCAGTCGGCCCACGCAGCCCGCCGCCAAAACAAGACCCCCAGCCCACGGGCGCGGACAGGTAAACGTTGACCCCCCGTGGGTGGGGGCACCCCCACGTTTATAACCAAAGGCAGGGTAACCTCCGAAGCAGATTGTGACTGTTCTCAAGCCCAATGATCGCCAATTCAATCTGCTCCCCGCTGCCGTCAGTGCGGTGCTCCACAACTGCTCTGCAAATCACGAACGAGAAAGCATTGGAAAGAGCGAGAGAGAGAGAGAGAGCGCCACCGCCAAGCCTGCTTCGCCACGATGACCAAACACGAAAGAGCTGAACACTACAGAGTGCAAAGATGTGCCCTGGGAAACTG